AACATCCCTGTGAATTTCGTGGCAATATAAAATACGTTGAGATAATAATAACATTTTCGTGCATGACTTTTTTTTTTTACTGACCCTCATATATATAATTTCCTTTCTGTGCTCTCCCTCAGCCCCTTTCTGCCTCTTTGAGAGTTTGCACGTATATATACATATATCCTCCACTTTGACGAACTCAACGGGCCTTATGATCCTCCAAAATGGATGGAATAAATATTATTATAGTTATCATTAGGAAGAAGTCCGGGCTCGCGGGTGAGTTTTGGACTGCGCGCATTAGGAATCGAAGACGCCCGACCGTGTCATGTTCCGGTCACGCCAATGGCCGGTGGTATAATGCCGGTTGCATCGCGAAACTCGATTTGTCTCGTGAAGGCTGTTCGTCTGTGGGAACAGCTTTCTACTTTATTTCGAAGCTCATTGGTTCTTTCCGTTAGGGTGTATGGATGTATTCATGTTGCTTTTAGCCTAGAGCCATGGCCTCAATGGAGAACAGTGCACGATGTGCCATCCAGTCAACAACTAACTTAGGCCAACTTGTTTGCGTTGAACTTGGAACGAAGACTTCCTTTTGAAGTCGATTTCGCCCCCTTACCCTCCTTTGACTTACGAGGAATGACAATGAAAGCCATTTGAGTCAGTAGTCTTTGTCAAGTTGAAAATTAGCTGTCATTGCACCTTGAAATTCCTCAACACTTCTTCGTGTCTCAACTGTTTGTTCGTATGAGGAACTGGCGGTTTGTATATGCAAGTAGCCCTGTTGTGTACAGCTTTTGGCTTTCTGAAAACAGAAAAAGATGAACCCACAAATATATAGTGTAGGCCTTGGCCAACTGTATGAAGGGGAAGGGCAAGGGGGATCCTTCATTTTATGAACACCTCAGCAGCGCTGACGTCTTGTGTTCAACCCCCTTGTTCAGTGCGGACTATGGGGTACAGATGCCCTCATTACATGCTTGTTGAGCTGCACCTCTGACACGGTGCACTCAAAATTGTTGGAATCTCAAGCTATTTAAGTTTCATCTATGAATCAAAACACCCCCTAAAACATGATTTCATGGGTTTCCCTGGCAGGAGTCTCAGTTGTCCTTTACTCATAGATAAGTCAATGGGAACAGAAACTCCTTCAGTCATTATCTTGATTGCTCATACCATAGTAACAGTCACTGTTCAGGTAGGCTCAGGACTCCTACCAAAGCCTAGGAGAGAAGTGCTGCACCATCTTCTGCCCAATGGTTTTGTCATTCATCCTGGACATCCTTGGGTGTAGCTCAGGGTGCATGAGGGAGCCGTATCAGGAAAACTGAACTTTGGTCCAGAGAAGTAGCTCTGAGTGGAGGCTCTCACAGATGGCAATCCTACAAATCACAGTGCAAAGGTAGAGTGTTGCTGTCCACAAAACCTCCAGTTTGAGCTGCTTCTCAGGATTGAGAGATCTTAAGTCCAGTTCTTCAGACACGTTTCCCATGCACATCCTGAGACGTCCAGAATGATGGGATATCTCAGCCAGACACAACAATGAACATATGGGGTTAGCAGGCTGACACAACACGGTGTTCACAGGGGAGTAATGTACACGGACAAAGTCTACATTGTGGGGGAGTGTTCATGCAATGTGCACAATGTTCACATATCAAAGGATACCCAAGTCAAGATCTGTCTCATTAGTAGACTTACTCTAACTCTCCATACCTTTTCCTTGTCAGCTATTGACTTTCCCCAAGCATAAGTGTACCTTTAGTGTCTGTTATGCCTATATAAACTTGAAGTTTCCTTTAACTGTTGAGAAATGTTTGGTAAAGCTTATGGTTGCCCATGATCTACAAAATATAATAGTTAGGGATTGTCTCATGATCTTTACCCTTCAGGGTGTAAAGTTTTAAGTATGTAGACTTGGATGAATTGAACAGTAAGAGGAAACAGGAAGCTTAAGTTAGGTTCATTATATTTTTTCTGTGATTAGATTATAAGTCTGGCTGGAATTTTAGTCTCTTCCCACTGCCTTTGCAGTAATTGCAAATGGCTTTCCCTGTACTCAGCATTGTCTCATAATAACAGACTGGTAGAAACATAAATTGGTGTCTCCAATCTAGCATATAGTGTAACTGTGACACTGTAGTTGCCACTAGATTGCTTCTTTAATCATTTTCTCCATATTATGGCAATGGAAATTTATTCCAATCATGGTCTAAGACACTGGCTTTACATATGACATCCATGACAGGGCAATCAATCTATGTGCTCTCACGTGAACAGAGCAGCTTCATATTTTCTCATGTCTGGGGGTGACAACTTCTGAGAGGTCATACTCATCATTCATATTGCCTCCTCATATAGGCCTTATTGCCTCTTGCTCGCAGAGTGCAAAGCATGCTGGTTGACAAGTGTACCTCATTCAGATTAGCCTAGGGAGTGCATGCAATGAGGTGGGATGGTCCACCTTCAGGTCAGAAATTAGATAAGTGAGCACTCTGAGTTTGGTGCCCCCAAGGGTAGACTGACAGTCATGAAGTGTTGATGGTGACTGGATACCTGGCAACTACTGTGCTGTTGACATTGCTATGGTATTCTAAATAGTAGTGTTTATTGGCCAAGTTGGCTCTGCCTCAACTCCAGGACCCAGCTGGGAATCATGACTTCAAGCATCATTCCTTATATCCTAAAGCTTCCAGCAGCCCACCAAATGCATGCATGTCTTTCAAGGTAAAGGAAGGTGTTTCCTTAGCCTCATGGGAAGGTTCTGAGCCATCTTTTTTAGCCTATCAGCTTGTTCCAGCATGTTCTACATGTTCCATATCATGAACGGAGTATTAACATCCATGGATCTCATCGCAGGTGGTGTTCAAATGACATCCAATCTAAAGGCATTGTCAAGTCAATGATACATAGCTAAGGTACAATCTGGTAAAAGCACAAATCCCCAGATATCCTAATGTAATACATTTACCCCTTGATTTGATCTACTGCAACTAAATTTTCTTTCCTTAAGAAGGGGTTTCAATATAGGAATGATTGTTTCAGTTTGCCTACTGGACTTCTTTGATGAACGTTCTTGATTCCTTTGTCTGTTCGTCATAGTTGCATGTAGACATTGCAACCCTTGACTGTGACTAGAGTTCCTCTGTCCCATTCTCCCATCACTCACTATCCCCAACAACATTTTATGCTTCCTTATTCTAATTTCTGATTATGCTTCTGTCCATCTCTTATGACAAAGTAACCGAAGTTCATGTCAGGGTTGCATCCTACTCCTCTGATGGCAGAGGACATGTCAGTTGCTGTCTTGGGGGATACTTGACTGGAAGCCCATATTGTGTATGTGAGACAATTGTCCAAAAACCCATCTTGGGCAAAACATTCATTTTATTGATCAGGAAACCCTTGCTGCAGCCCTGAGACGATTGTCTAGAAACCCAACCTTGGCATACTTTCTCCTGAATTTCAACTGCTTCACCACCAATAATAGCTTTATTTCCTGGATGACTGATTTAAATGAATCATGTGTTGTACTGAAGCTCATGTGCCTATCAAGTTGTTCCTGATTGGTAGATCTTGTGCCACAATCACGTTCCTGTGAGAACGGCTGTAAGAGCCCTTCCATGTCTTAGACATCTTCCTCACACAGTTTTAAAACTGCTGGTGGTGTCACCAGTGATGTCAACTGTCCTCTATCCTTTGCTGTCCTCTCAAGAATGGGTAACCAAAACTCCCTATTTTCATGAAAATGTGATAACTGCACCAAAAGAGTTGAATAAAGCATGTGGAAGAAGATGGATGCTACTCTGGAACTGTATGACCTGAAGTGAAGTGTTTGAATGTGCTAGTACTGCTCTAATCACAGTTGCTTTGCCTCATCTCACCAATCCAATAAAGGATCTGCTCTGGGAAAATGTTGCTTACAGATTGATCAGCTGGTAATTTTGGAGGAATTGCATTTATGATATTCCATGTCTTCACTCCTGGCTTTTTGATTGGCTGTAGGGCTTCCTGAAGGCATGGGTCTACCAAGACACATCCAGATTATTTCATGAGTTGAATGCTATTTAATGAGAATTTTATCTTATACAGTTGGACAAGCTTCATGTTGCTGTTTAGATCACTATCACTTAGAAACAACTAACACGACCAGAGTAACATGCACAACTTCCTAAATATCTTGGACAGGCAAAAGGCTCCCAAATGATGTATATGATGATGACACCATCATTATCTCATGACCCTCATTCAATGTTACAAATCTGCATGCTTCAATTCAACCCTTTAACTCCCATGTTATTTGCCACCTTGCACTGAGCTAATGTACAGTTTTTAACATTTTAAATATGCTATCCTTTTGTATGCACTGATAAGCAATATATTGTGTGTGTTATTTTTTTAAACCATTAGTAACTTTCCAAGAAGTCCTGATTGGGCTGAGCAATGAGTGATGTTGATAAGGAAAATTGAAAAATGAATTTACTTGGGCATAGTAGTGAAATTAACCCTTTCATTTCTATGATGTATATATATGTCTGCCACTTTAAGTTAAAATAATTTTAAAAATCCCTCTCACATCAATTCATAACCTTTACTACAAAGGTGAGTGTGTGTATTTCATATTATCATCATATTTCATAAAACTGACAAAAGTCAGAAAAATCAGCACAGGAGGCTCCAAACAAATCTCATCATTGAAAGGGTCAACCTGTTCCTTAAGTCCCATTGTTGATTGCCTCCAAGTTCAAGCACACTAATTTCAAATACCATGGAAGGGACTTGATCATTCTGTATATAGCATTATATTAATAATATGATAATGCACATTATCATTGTATATTCCCTACAATTCCATGCCTTCACTTTTTAGATCAATATTTCTGCATTCTTGGGCTTCAGGTTAAAGATTTTTGGATGTTAAATTCAATTAATGAAATTGTTGGACCTCATCTAGGACTATTCATAGACTCGATCAATGTAAGAGTGACGCTTATATACTATGTGCAATGATTTTGTTTACAGATTTTGGTGCCCTTTACATCAGGCTCTTGGCTGCATTACCCTAGGCATAGCCTAGTGGTGAAAAATTCTCTGAAACCGAATAAAGAGAAACAAAGGGCTTAAACAAGGTGCAAGTTTTGCAACAGTGTTATTGTGAATCTAGTGTTCTGCAAATGACATGCTAGTCAAGAATTGTTGATGTTATACACAAGAGGTATATAGGGCATAATCATGGCATCTGCAGTGGCATCAAATGACATTTCCATGGAAGAAGTGAAGGTGATGGATGTCAAAGAGGAGCCTATGGATCAGTCAGAGGTGTCTGAAGAACTTCAGAAATGGATCGATGCAGGCCTTGATCCTCAGGTTGCTGAAAAAGTGGAAGAGATCTGCAAATCGGGTGAGCGTTTAATTTTTTTTATGGTAGCATTTTTTGCATTGTTGTGCCCTATGTATATTGTCACACTTTGCACATGACCTTTGCATATTGTAGTTGACTGTAGTCCTTGAGCTCACATGATAACGTAGAGCAGTGGTCGGCAACTGAATTTCATGGGGGGCTGGATGAAAAAATGCTGTGTGTTCGCAGGCCAACACCTATCAAGTGTCATTAAAATTTTAATTTTGATGAATGTCTTATATCAAACATCCAGCCAAACTGCGACTGTTAGACTGTAATGTGCGATAGCTGGGCCTGTGCAGACCAGAGGAAAAGCTGCTGCGGGCCCGATCTAGCCCGTGGGCCACCAATTGCCAACCACTGACAGTTTTCTTCACTGCGCCAATGGCGTCAAGGGTCAAGCAATTGTACCACACAATGAGAGATGGCGCCACCCCTGCCACGACATTAACCCTTGCCCTAGGAGGCCAATTCTTCAATACCTGCAAATTATATTATGTCTTCTGTTGTAACTCTCTGTACCCTGGTTCCCATTGTATGCAGACATGTTCTTTATTTGAGCTATAACGGAATATGCATAACTTGACCTTGTAGGGGATGGTGCACACTCATAAGGTAGGGAGAGACCATTGACTCTGACGAGCCCTAACCCCAGCCGAGTAGCCAACCAAGTGTAGCATGGTTCTTCACTGTTCAAACCCTTTGTATCCGATTACTATTCATTCCGTTGTGGACTGCATTGGCAAATCAAGGGTAGCTTGGTAGCTTGATTGGGCACAAGTATTGAGGGTGATGAACCACCCTCAATACCCCTTGTGCCCAATCCCTGTCCGATCCCAGGCGGACTGCATTGGCAAACCAAATGTGGCGAGGTTCTTCACCCTCCAAACTCCGTGCCCAATCCCCGTCTGTGCTCAGGCATCCTCTACACCAGTGGATCTCAACCTTAATTATGTCACAACCCATTGAGCCCCTTTTCGATATTTATGCGATCCAAAAATTTATAAACGTCCAGAAATAATGCAGGCATGTGATAAAAAAAATTAATTGAATTAAATATGGAAATGACTCTTTTAATATTTTTTCTTTGGGCACAGGTGACTCATTATTTTTCGTTTCTATTTCTTTACAACTTTGAACTTCCCCTGAAAGAACTCGACCTGGAAGTTGTTTGCCTTTTCTTGGAATTGTTTACCAGGAAGCCTTTTCCATCTAATTAAATGGTATAATAGATTTGATCATTCCTAGAAAATCAAGAAGAAATCATTACTTGAGTAACAAGAGAATTTCAGAATTTATCAATAAATTTATCATTTAAGAAGCCCACTTGCTTCTTTGACATTAAGGTGAGCAACAATTGTGTCCATTACCTACCAATTGTTGATTAGATCTCCTGACCTGGAGCATTGTGAGGTTTATGTCACCCCAAAGTAGAGATTGTTTTAAAGAAAAACCAATATACATATATTGGTAACTGAAGTTATTTGTCAATGTCCATCTTTTATTTTCCAGGGAAGTTGGACCACTCTGACTTGGATGAGAGGGCTCTGGAGGCATTGAAAGAGTTCCCCATCTCTGGTGCTATTGCGGTGCTCAAGCAGTTTGAAGATTCTAATCTAGATCATGTGTCCAACAAGTCTGCCTACCTATGCGGTGTGATGAAAACATATCGACAGAAAAGCAAGAGTTCCCCTGGTCAGCCACCTACTGGAATGAAGGGACCAGACGAAGAAAAGATAAATGTAATGCGAAGCCACTTCTTTGGTGGTTCATTTGGTAGAAGTGACAAAAATGTATTCTGAAGTGATTGAAAACCTAAAGAAGTTGTGTTCATGAATTTTTAAAATTATTATTAAAAAATTGCATAATGCTGAACAAAGCAGAATCCTAAACTGAAATTGACCAACAGGCCTGGGCCTATATGAATACATGGACTCATGGCTTTTGTAGATATGTGATGCATCTTTTTTGTGTTTTAGGCAATCTTGGAGCGCACAGGCTACAAACTGGATGTTACTACAGGGCAGCGCAAGTATGGTCATCCCAGCCAAGAAATGGATGAACCTGGCAGTGGTTGTGAGGTGATTTCATCTGCCATCAGTTTTACCATTCTTTGCATCTTGATCATTTTTTCATTGGGAAATTTGGTTACTTGTAGGTATTCTGTGGGAAGATTCCAAAGGATGTTTTTGAGGATGAGCTCATCCCCTTATTTGAGAAGTGTGGGACGATCCATAACCTTCGTCTCATGATGGACCCCATGACTGGAACCAACCGGGGGTTCTGCTTTGTCACATTCACCAGCAGGAGTGCTGCCCAGCAGGCTGTGAAGGAGGTATGCAACTTTCTTTTCTGTGGACTTTTTTCATCCAAGAATCATTTTATTGATGAAAGAGACAGTGAAGGGCATGAAGGTGCGTTGTCTTCAGCCAGGCTTCCAGGTCTCCTCTTTGCACCAGAAGATCCAGCCTCCAAACTCATTCCCCTCTTTTCCTCCTGATCTGTGGTTCATATCCTTACTACTTTTTGATAAATTTATTGGAAATCCAAAATTTCAAATTGGATATTGTTTGGATAGGGATACTAAATTTCATTGGTTGTGGTGTGGTTGTGGAAAAACTTTTGGCTGATATTTCTTTGTGTCTGCTTTCACCATAGTGCTAGCTGCTGGAGACAGTACCCATGGAGCCAGGAAAATTTTCCTTCAATAGAAAAATTTGTTCCTTTTTTTCCATCTGTTCTCGGTGCCTTCCCTATTGTTCCGGCCGAGCCAGCTTGACAATTTTGAAATCAAAAAAGGCAAGAGCCTGAAAGTTAACATAAGCGACCCCAACCTCCGCCTGTTTGTCGGGAACATTCCAAAGTCCAAAGGCAAAGAGGAGATAATGGAAGAATTTAGGAAAATTACAGGTAAATCCCCCTTTCATTATTCCTTCATTCTCGTGCTTGTTCCTTTATCCTCCTTTCTCAATCTGATGTTAGTTTTTTCATATCTTCATAGGGAAAGTTGTTGAATTTCCTGTTTCATACAAGAATATTTTTTTTTAGCTTTTTCTCTTTTGGTTTTTCTTATCTTACTCAAGAAATTACCAGTTTCAAAGCTTTGGTAAATATACCAAAGTCTTTCCTTTGGTGCATGCAAAAGTATAGGTTCCTTTCTTTTTATCAATACTGATGGAGCTGGTGCTCCTCTACATTCCATTTACTTGCAGCTGGTCTCATCGATGCAATCATCTACAGCAGTCCTGATGACCGGAAGAAGAACCGAGGTTTCTGCTTCCTTGAGTATGATAGCCATAAATCAGCCTCCCTTGCCAAGCGGCGACTCAGCAGTGGACGCATCAAGGTGTGGGGTTGTGACATCATAGTTGACTGGGCTGACCCACAAGAGGAACCTGACCAGGAAATCATGTCAAAAGTTGGTCTTCCATTTCCCAAGCCTATCACACTCATGTGCCTTGAAATTTCAGAATGTGGATTCCTGCAGAATCCATTTAGGATAATGCTAACCATGAAGGTAATTTTAGTTTTGCAGGTATGCCATGTTGAATGCTTATATTTTTTATGCAAGAGCATATGATGTCTGCATGCCAGAGCAAAGAATATACTGTCTTCTTTCTGGTCTTTGGCAACAAGGAAAGGTGCTAATGGTACTTCCAAGTGCATTGGGGATAACTTGGAGAAGCACTAATTTGCATATCTATCAGATTTCTGATAATGAGTTACATGGATTGCTAGCATCCTTGTTCCATGTCCCCGAAGAGGAAAAGTTTGTCAGAACCCTAGGTGATGCATGCTGAATTTATACAAATCTTGGATAATAATTGAAAATGACCTGTTGAGCCTTTTAATTGACAACAAAAATCTTAGCTCTTCCTACCACTCATGAAGGAACTTTGTGATGGTGGTCATATGGCTGAAAGTGTACATCTGACCTTGCAGGTGAAGGTTCTATATGTACGGAACTTGACACAGAAAGCAAGTGAAGATGATCTCAAGGAAACTTTTGAACGGTTTGGGGCAATTGAGCGTGTGAAGAAGATTAAGGATTATGCCTTTATCCATTTCTCAGATCGGGAGGATGCCATCAAGGCAATGGAAGAATTACAGGTGGATCTTTTGCTCCTGTTTTTTTTTCCAAGAGTGCAGCACAAATTGTTTTGCATCTTGCATGAGTTGATGTTGGTGACCCCACAGGGGAAAGACCTGGGAGGAGCCCCAATAGAAATCTCTCTGGCCAAGCCACCCTCAGACAAGCGGAAAAAGGAGGAGGTTTTGCGCAAGCGGGAAGTGCGCATGATGCAGATGATGTCATCCCGTGGAGGGTGAGAGTCCACTTTGCTTTTTCTACCTTAAAGCATGCAGTAATGATCCTTGACACTAAGTCCTCGAAAAACCAGTACATAACTAGATGGACAAGTCAGTCTTTTTTCACCACTATGAATGTCTCATGAGGTATTCTATTTACATGTATGCAGAAAAATTTATCTATGGTGCCTTTGGACTTATAGCTGTTGGAGAAATAATGTTGGACCAGATAAGGAAATGGGAAATGTTTGTCTGCCTTACATACCCTCTAGTCCAGTGGTTTCCAAACTATGGGTTGCGACCCACTGGTGGGTTGCGAGAGGCATCAAGGTGGGTCGTGTACATTCTCCCAGTGTGAAAAAAAAATCACTACATCTACATCCACTCAGGATAAAACATGCCCTGCAGAAAAGGATGATCAGTTTTCTTCACGTCATAATTACTTTGAAAATACCTTGTTCTGGATTCCGGTGGGTTGCAATTTAAAGAAGTCTGGGAACTACTGCTCTAGTCGAACAACCAATTCAAATGCATGTGAAAATTTATTGGAATCAAGTATCTATTTGACATGAACTACATCAGGCACCAGACTGCCTGTTACTTGCCTGTTTGTTTTTAAAACCTAATAGTTTTCCCTGTGATTGAAATTTTTTTTTTAAGACATGGCTGAATAGTGAAAGTGGGAACAGATATTCACTCCACATACTGGTAAAATAAGCTTGTGGTTCACTTTTTTGTTTTGAAAAAAGTTATCGTTTAAAAGAAAACAAGAAATTGAAAGTCAATTGTAATAAGCAGAGAAAGTGTGATTATTCCTTCACCTAGGGCCATATGGTCCTAGCTATGTTGGAAGTAATGATGTGTTGACAACCATTGTGTTTTTCCACATGTGAGACCATTATGAACTTCAGTTCCTTTTCTTGGTATCACTATGTGTAATCACTAGTAGAGGTTGGACTTTCATGTTCTGGTCTATTAGTTGGTTTATTCCCTTGTCACAGATGGTGAGGATATAGCATTTTTCTGAAGGGGCCACTGTGTCAAATCCTATTGAGCATATCACACATTCTTTATTGGGACAACAAGCATATGTGTGCTTATTGTCTGTACTTTTTCAAATTGTGCATTACCCTTAGTTTTCTTTTAGTTTTGCATATACAGTTCTTAAATGAAAATTTTTTCTGTGAATGATTCCCCCGGAGACGAAAAAAGAAAAACTCCCAACTTAATATGGTTGTAGACAAGACCATATGAGGTAAGGTATAATTTATAAGTTGATAGGAAGTTTGTACATGGTACAGGGTGTAACATTTGTCAGGAATCATATGGGAATAGTTTTAGGATTATTTCCTCCCATGACTGCTTGAAACTAACCAGCCAATATATAAGCTATGGTGCTAGAATCAACTCCCTTAAACCAACCAGACCATCATTCTTCGAAGCTATGATGCTGTGCCCAAGAAGATTCTTCAGCTGCAGACATAACTTACTGAAAATAAGTTGAATAGGAAAATTCTGCTGTTCATGAATGCCATAGAATTGCAACTAAAAAAGGGGAAGTGTTTATAAATCCAGATGTATTCACAGCTTCTCTTAATCATACCAGTCATAAACATTGATTAACTCAACCAGCCTCACAAATTTGCTACCAGGCAGAAACATGTTTGGATAAGAACTTAGTCATCTAGGAACAAAGTTTTGATGAAGAATCTATGGCAGGAATTCCTAAATTCAATGTGACTAACTTCCATGCCAAATTTCAAGCAGATCCATGAGGTATCTCCCACAGGTTGCTGGACACTTGAGTTGGAATGATCCCATTATTTTAACCCTTTTAGTGCTGTAGAGCCAATTTTTCAACCATGGCTTTTCATTAGGTTTCTTCCTTCATGTAGTTGGGATTCTTTTTGTTGGATGTTGATGTTACCTTCAGATACAGCTGATTCCAGATGCAGATACAGATACTACAGATAACATAAGTACTTACACATAAATAATATCTTTGCCACTTGTTGTGCCCCTAGGATTTTGTTTTATTTTAACTCTGAAGTGGTTAGCTATTTTTGTGTAAGTTTATATAATTTTGTTTCTTTTTATTTGCAGTGTAAGTGTAAAAGATGTATGACTATGAACATGTGTTTTGAAGGAAAAGTGGCTACTCTACACTAATATGATGATAGCATTTCAGTTTGGAATAAATTTAGTTAATCAATTGCACTTCAAAGTTGAAATTTAAATTGTGAAAAAGTTATTTTTGAAAAATAAATAGATAAAATTACAAATAAGCTATAATCCATTATACTCAGAATATCTGAGTAAATTAAAAAAAAAAGAATGTTTTATACTTTGAGAGTTATGATATTTTTATGAAGTATAGCAATTTAAGAAAAAAGGGCTTGGCATTTTTAGCTACTACTTGGTATAATGACTTGGCACCAAAAGAGTTAAGCATCACTAGTCCCCTTAGAAATGAACACCATGTTCTGTGAAAGATTTAAATTGTAAAGAGAAGATGAAACTTTCTGAAGCTGTTTTGCACCATGAAAATGATGCAGTACTTCTGTGAAACATCCTTTAAATCCTTTTTTATTGTTAGAGCAGCTAATGGAATCTTATTTCGGGCTGTATTTCAGGTTGTTGATTCCACCTGGTGGGATGCGTGGAGGTCGGGGTAGTCTTTTACGCAACCCACTAGGCCGTGGAGATTATGGTAAGTCTTCAGGATATTTTCCAGCCTTGGCCACTTCTACCCCCACTTTCACCACCTTCCCTGCCCCCTATTCCTTGGATGACGACCCTGAATTTGCTTACTACTACAACGATGCTTTGTTTGCCTACTACTAACTCCTGTTGTCCCTCTGGCCTCTTACCTTACCTGATGTCACATGGTTGCAACCTTGTTACCTGAGTGAGGAAATCCTGTTTTTGTCAAGTTTTCTGTGTTTGAGTGGATGGATCAAAGCAAATCTTGGGTTAAACTACTTGTCTTGCATGCATTTAGGCTCAGTTTTCTCATGGATATTGTCAAGTTAACATGTATGGTCTTGCCATTGTGACTTTGTTGATTGAATGGAATAAAGTCCCCTTCCTACCCTCTCCCCTTCCTTGCTCCTCTACCCTTTCTTCCTCCCCTGTTGCCTTTCCATATCTGATCATTGGAAGCTCAGAGCACTCAATTGTCAATGTGATGAAGATGCATGCTACCTGAAGTAGAATAGAAAACCAATTTGTGAAATAAACCCATTCCTTTCTAAAAGCATAGCAGTTGAAATGAGAACTGTAGCAGTTCATTTTCCTGACAGGAGACAGGCAACTTTGACATGAATATCTGATCCTTCAAAAAAAAAAAAAAAAACTAGCAAGCAAAGATATATTGGTATTGTTCTGGAAAAAATCTTTTTGACCTTGTACATTTTTTCTTGCACATGGGGAAAACTAATCCCTTTCATATTCTCAATAATAATAGTTAATGACAGTGGGTTTTTTTTAATCTCTTTTATTTCTGAATTCTCTTCATTGAAATTTTAATTTTTTAATTACTTTTATTGCAGAGCTCTTCATTCATTTTCTTGTGCTGCATTGCATTGACTGATATATTCATTCAGTCATGTTTACATTTTTCTTACTAGTAGCTTCTCAGATACCTTGATTTTCCATTCCTTGGTTTTTATTGCACTTAGCTTTTCACATTATAGCTTCATTTTCATTTAAAATTGTAGTGGAGTAGTGGCTAATGATTTTGGATCTTGAAGAAACTAATCTTCATGCTAATGATATCAGATTAATTTAGTTATTTTTTGTCAAACCTGCTTGTTCACCTTGAAAGTGTTTTGCATGGCAATTTCCTTTCATATGTTGCTTTTGTTTTTCAACAAAACTAAAGCCTCCCCTTCCCTCTTTTATGAGATCAGTTTCATCATGGATGATTCATGACACAGGTAACAAAAGCATAAAGAAGTGATCAGTGGTTCCTATTGAGAGTGGAGGTTCCTGTCTTGTATGAATGGAAGAAGGCCAATACAACCATTCCTCATAGCACCCTTGTAGAGATTTTTTTTCTTGCACACAAACCAAACGCACGATCAATTTCTAGCTCAGGCTCCCCTCACTTATATATCATTTTCAGTTCTTTTTTCATATTTTTTGGGCATGTTTTTTTGGGTTGTAGAAGCTCAGCCTCATTCATATTATTTGCCCTGAATTCACATTCCATTATTATCCTCATTCAAGTCATTTGTCACATCCTTCAAAATTTCCTCGATGATGCCAACACGCAGCATTTTGGCCCTCTATTCCAGATTATGACTACGATTACTATGGGTACTGCGACTACAGAGGCGGGTACAGTGATCCCTACTACGATGATTTCTATCGATACGACGATTATTATGATTACCCGCCCCCGCCGGCTCCAATGCCGCCTCCACCACCCCCATCTGCACTGCCCAGGGGGAGAGGCTTGCCCCCACCAATGGTTGGTCTTTTCCAAATTCCATCCTCATTTACTCTGAGGCTGAGTTGGTGCTCCAATTTCCTTGTATGGGGGTCACAAAACCAAAAATGAAAAACTGTAGGCAAATATCTGCTACCATGGTCTAGATTAGTATTTTCATGCCAAAGCTTTCTTGTCATTGACCCAAGTTCCAGGGAAGCTTTGGCTGTGTTCAGTTACCCTGTGCGTAGTTGGTTTGGTGGATATTGTGCAGTCTTCCATAATCAGATCAGGTTGTCTCCATAGTTTTGGCAATCCATTGATATTTTCTTGTGGTGATTGCTTCCTGCAGCATTTGATATTTTATTGCTGCAATGTAAGTAGGAGAATGAAACTTGGCTGAAGAACATGCAATGAGTTCGACACAACCACAGAAATTCATGGCAGTTGTTTGCTGGCGTAGAAAGGTTCCCCTTGATAAAACTTTTATACAAGGTCTTTCTTTAAAATCCCTCAAAATCTGCATTCATTTGTGGCAAGCATGAGTTCATGCTCAACTTCATTTATAGTAGAGGCTGTATAAAGATTATGCATTTCATCATGTTTTTTGAAGAAAATTGTTTAACTTGATGGAAGGTATATTGTTGAAGGTACTGCCCTTTGTTTATTTTTGTTCAATGAACATGAAGATGTTGGGGTATGTTTGATGTTGTAGGGCCGTGGTGGACGTGGTGGAACCATGGGTGGGGGACGTGGGATGGGCGGAGGGGGGCCTATGGGGGGACCTGGGGCCCCACCCCCACCTCCCTCTCCCACTATGCGGGGCCGAGGCCACATGAGGGGTCAAGCCCCCCGGGGATCCCCTCGAGGCAGAGGTTTCCCTCCCGGGATTGCAGGTCTGTTTCCCTTTTCTTCCCAGACTCCAGTATCTGACAACCTGAAAGTTATATAAATTTTAAAGTAGACTTGCCATTTCTCGATAAGTTCTGCTTATCTTGTCAGAAATTTAAGAAGTGGTGATTCACCATTTCTTTACTAGGATAGTGTTCTTAGTGAAAGTGTATTTTTATTATATTTTGTCCATGAAATTGAATGAGATCATGTGCTTGTAAAATTTCAAGCCTATCAAAATTGTAGGTTTTCTTCCTTGAAACAACTGCAAAATGTAAGCTAGTAAATATCTGAAGACCTTTCTATTGTTTTGTGGTGTTCCCCTCTCTCCAACATCTAAGAATAATGGTAATGTCATCTTCCAGCCAGGTTCTTTGCAAGGATGCTTCATTGAAATGATTTTAAGCTGGGAGAAATCTATAGCATGGTATAAATACAAATTCTCTGGTATATCTTCTGTTTGAGCATTTGACACTGAAAATGAGTCATAATTGGTTGAAAAGAACCATGAATACAATAGGAACTGTTATCGTTTCTGTTGATCCATCTTGCTAGAGAATCTGCAGAGTTGATCAGTCTGAGGGTAAGCTTCCTCTAATGCACACATATGCATTTGGTCCTCTTCATTTATTTGTTTCTTTGAAGCTTGTATGTATTTCTATTCAGGTAAAAGGAAGTTGGATACAAACCAGAACCAGGGGGATAGCAAGCGTCGAAGCCAGCCACCGACTGGCAACCACCTGAGCAATGGAGGTTCAACCAATGAACCTTTCTATGCTGACTCCTTTGGCCAGCAGTGGAACTGATGGAGATCCACTGCACCAACTCCAGGCCACTCTCACGGGATCCAAATCCTTGCCCGTCGTGTCTCTCCGTTTTTGTGAGAGATCTTTGAATGATTTCTCTTCCTTGTTTTGAATAGTTTTAATGACTTTGGTCCTTATCTGCCCCACAGTTTCCTTCAAAAGTTTTTCAAGTCAAGCAAGTCTCTTGATTCTGCATTCCCCCCTTGTTCTGGGCCCAAAGAAAGAAAAAGAAATTACACAAATCCCTCAACTTGAAATCTGGTTTTGTACAATAGCAGGAAGTTTATTGTTGTTGGACAAATTTTGCTTGCATTTCCTCCTGTTTCTGCTGTAGATTTGCTTGACATCCAATCCTAATTCTCCCTCTGTTGCATTCCTGGGATTGCAGTCAAATCCTCAATATGATGTCATTTTTAGATTAAGTCATTCCTTAGCCAGTGCCCTCCCTTCTCTGCTTTTTTTTTTCTTTTGCCCTTCCCAACCTAAAAAAGTGAAATTATTACAACTGCAGCACTGTTTATTTATTTATTTGTTGATGGGAAATTCTGTGTTGCCCTTCATCAAGAGGTCATCTCCCCAACAGTTGTCATTAATGGTTTCACAGGAAACTATCGACGGTAGGCACACTTTTCAGTGTTCAATGTTTTTGTTCCAAGTTCCAGTTACTTAGGTACCTAAGCACAATTCATACGATGAAAAGTGCAGAAGGGACTTGAATGCATTTGGGGTTTTGCCTGTATGATGGCGACAGAGAAGTAAGCTTCATGGCACCATTAATCTGGTCTGCCGTGGTCTGGACTGATAGCTCGTCTACTGCAGTGACACATTCTCACTGTGAACGCATCAAGGAACTTATCTTGGAAAGCAGACACATGACTGCGTGAGACACTGCATCCACAATGGACCATGATTCTGCACAATATTGCATTCACAATGGACATTGAAAAAATTCTGCTCTTACCTGTTATTAAAGCATTCCTGTTTTACCCTGTGGGTTCCAGAACGATTGACGACAGAAGACAGTTGAGAGTGTGCATATTTGTCAAGGCATGTTTGACATGGTATTGCTATCCTAGCATGAATTATCAGAGATGAATCCAGGATCTTATACTATGCCACTCCCCAGACAAATAGCAGAAAGGCATTGAGTTGCGGGAAATTTCATCACCTAGGAAAATAATATTCAAAACCACACCGTGATTGAAAACTTGGAGACTTCGCTTGGGACGTTGTGAGTCTTGCTCGTGGGTTTTATTCTCCGGGAAAGCACTGTAAATCCGGACGCGTACGACGCAACGCTAAGCTTGAAAAAGCCATGAGGAAACTGCTACAGATAAACTGCGTTCTGTTGCTGTATGATTTAATGCAACCGCACTCCGCTCTAAAGACCAATGGACATTGCAGCGCCTTGGTTTGTCATAACTCCCACACTTGATGTATAGTCCGGACTCCTTGCCTTCGTCAGATGGTCATCAATGCGACTGTGACTATCTTCTTCAGGTAGTCGCACCCTGTACGCATCATGCACATCTTAACCCTTTCAGACCTGAATTAAGGTCACTATCAGAATAATATACTTTTTTTTGCATTTTTCAGCTCTTTTGCCAATCTACTTTACTTTAAATTTTTACATCCTATATATCGTGTTTATATTTTGCATAAATTTACCATATATTATATATTATACATGTAGTTACAAAATTGACGAGAGAATGCTTTCGATGGAATTGAGCTATGCATAATTGCGCCCATTGTAGTGTAATATGGGATGCAAAGTCACGAGAATCCCAAGTAATCACCATAGACAAAGAAAAAGCAATGTCCATTGGAATGGACACCGGGTCTGAAAGGGTTATGGAAGCATTAGCTGGAGAGCTTCATCTGGATTGTATCTGCAGTCGGTTGGTCAAAGTTGCTCTGCAAACAGGATGATTCCTTATGTCGTGATCAGATTGACAAACTTTCTGGAAGGTAGTAAAAGTGTATGACTGCTGATGGTAAACTCTTTGAGAAGTGATTTTACTGTTACCTTTACCAATGATGCCATCCTTTTAGCCAGGTCTCGACCTGCGACTCGAAATTGTGCTGCGGCCGGAATGAAATTGAGCGTCCCCAAAGCGCAGGTTATGGTCCTTTCGAGAAGTCCTGTAGTGTTAGTGTGCATTACGTGTTAGGGGGGCCCCACTGGAACAGATCGAAAAGTTTAAGTACCTCGGGGTCTGATTCTCAAGTGACAGCTGATACGGAAACGAGATCGACGGCTGCATCTCTAGGGCTTCCGCCTTTTACGGACACTGGAGGACTGGTCCAACCACAGTCCTCCATGTCAGATTTGGCGGCGCCATATCTGACATTTCCAAGTACACTAAATTTTCGGTTTTTAAGAGTGTTTTGCCTCCCCACCCTCACCTATGGTAATGACCGAAAGAATCGAGTCGTGGATACAAACTCCCTCGATGAGTTTCTTCCGGTGTGCAAGAGATCCCAGGCTAGTTGGTTCCGACACGTCTCCCCTATACAGGGACGTCAATTAGAGGGGGGGGGGGGGGGGGGGCAGTTGCCCCCCCCCTTAGGGGGGGGGGGGGGGGGGGGGGGGGGGGGGGGGGGGGGGAGCAGTTGCCCCCCCCCTTTGTGTCTTGGAGCGATTTTTAAATAGCCCTCACTTCTTCCCTATAATGTAATAGCCTGAAAGTCTGCCTTAGAGCTCTCATGCGGCATGGTTTTCATGGCTCCTGTTCTTTTGTTAAATCTCAGTGCATTAATGATCTCAAGAGAGGCGTTCTCGAAACTTGAAGCTAATCGACCCTGTTTTAACACTGTCTTTAGCAACTGCCTGAGTCGAGAGACTCTCCGCCACGAAGAGTATAAAAAAAAAAGTCTAGTCGTCTGCCATTGGCCCGCACCGAAAGCGAACACGGAGTAAATTGATCAACGAATTCGCAAAAATTGAAAGTTTCTCGCTCTCCGCTGTTGCGGTAAGGTCATTCGGGATAAGTGTGATCAGTCCTGATTTTTGGTACTTACAAGTGCAATATGCCATCAACGATGTATGCACTAAGTGCTGTGTCATGCTGATCCAGGTTTGTATATCTCGTCAAATTTCACTGGATCAGTTGAGAGATATTTCACTGAATATTAGAGTACCCTCTTTCCACTCTAGTACTTAATTCGGCGCACCTCATTCAACTTTCCCTGTATGATCAGTACTGCAGAATAAAATTCCTTTTTTTGTATCATGGCAAAGTAGATTCCATGCTCTTTCCTACAAGTGCCTTTTGGAGTTCCATTCATGTTAAGCTTGGTCACAGGAAGACTGATCACACTTACTCTGTAAAATTTGGCGTCGGGGTAAGTGTGGTCATTCGAAATATGACTCTCTCCAGGCTTCACGTCTTGTTCACTCGTAGATTTCACTCAGAGACTTAAAAACTCAACTAAATCCCTGAAGCTGGAGCCACTCCTTGCTAGAAGTTCCTTGTCTGATTGGTACCTTGCGAATAGGCTCTAAAAATTCATGGAATGGTCTCTGACCTATCCTCACTGGGTCTCGAAATTAGGCTACATCTCAATTATTTATAAGCATCCATTGGAGCTTGAAGAACGGTCTCGGAACTTACAACACTTCCGTCAGTTTGACATACCTATTCCAGTCAATGAACAACTAGTTGGAGATTTTCATAATTCCCAATAATTAAAATTTTTCAACTGGCTGCAAGAGGATGGGGTTGAATGTGATCACTGAAAGAAAATCTGATGGCAGGAGAAAATACATACAATTCTGACCATACAAACATATGCAAATGATAGAGCTAGGTTTGTAAGCAAACAAAAAATAGACATTTTAAATAAATGCTCCCATTATCAGCCAAGTCCCCAAACCAGTGTCTTTTCTGTTCCTGTAAATGGTATTTTTATTCCATATTTTTTCGATAGAGAGAACAAGTAGGGGCACATTTGATCATCAGAAAAAAATTATTTAAGCATAGAAATGCTTTTTAATTTGACTTTTTGATTTGATGTGACTGCCGCTTCCTTAGTATCACCCAGGCAAAAATTTTCGTTGGTTTATCTTCGGGCCATTGCTGGGGGAGTTGGCCCATTTTCGGCGAATGATTGGCAGAGTTGGCCGGCCAATCATTCGCCGAAGATAGACCAATGTGGCTGAGAAGGTTCCGAAAACCAGCGTGAGATGGAGCCAAAGTGGTCGTAGTGGGGAGTCACTTCCCGGATACTGCTGAGATGAGTCCCCTGTCCCTTTGACACAGTTCCCTATGGTTTCTCACATAGATCTCAGAGGAAGACAATCGAATTCCTTTTAACATTTCTCTGAAGATGTAACCTTGCTCTGGAATCAATCAGGAACTTCCAGCCTGGAGGTTCGTGGGAGGATCCTTCTCCTTTCCACAATCGGCCACACGACTATAAAATCGCCGATTGCAAGTATTGTCTTCTGTGTTCAATTACGTGTATAGGTGTGTCTAACTTTCTGTGGTGACAGATACTCTTGCATTCACGCGTGATTCCGCTTCTGGATACCTCTGCATCCAGAAGGGGTGTTGCTTGGGATGTTCTTGGCGGAAGGAGTGTACCTGTGTAAGGCATTCAGATAAGGTCCTGATCCTTCATCTCTACCTGATGAAGGAGCATTAAGAGGTCAAAAGATGCATTCTCATCGCTCCAAGATAAAGCTGTAGATGCAATTTTTTGTCGTTTTTTTTTCCTATACCTTTTCACCATTGTGAAAAGTCGGCCGATGGTTGGGGTATGTGCAGTTTCTAATGAGTCAAAGTTGGCCCAATGAAGGGCCAAGAGGACATGCCCGACTATAAGCCGGCTTAAACCAACCGTGAGCTAACCATATAGCAATGATGGCCCAACTACGGCTTATATGCGCGTCGGCGAAAAGCCATCGATGGCCCGACGAAAATTTTCTGACTGGGCTGTGGCCCAAGCACTATTATACGATGATCGCATTTTACCTGTTCAAAATCACACTTAACCCTAATGGGGTATCGGCATAGGTGTTATCACTGAAATGGCTCGTAAGAGAAAGCGCATACAAGTCTAAAGTAGTGGTCTGCATGTCTAATGTAATCAAAAGTGAATTTTTATCAGCACTCAATTTTATATTTACAAGCAAAATATGCAATGAAGTATGAATTAAGAAGTCGGTCTTGCTAGCTCTGCCTTGTATATCCAGGTAAATTCCATTGCTGCAACCGAGAGATATATCAAAGGTAATTAAGGAAGTATCCTGTTTCATGTCTAGTACTTAATTTGGCGCAATCATTTCAAATATCCTTGACTGTTCAGAACAGCTGAATAAATTTAACTTTTGGCATTCTGGCAAAGTAAATTCTATGGCCTTTTCAACTAGTCCTCTTTGGAGTTCCATTCCTGGTAGGCATGGGCATAGTAAGCTTGATCACACCGCATGAAATCAGGCATTTGGATTAGGGCAATCGTTGTGGATGAATTTCTTAGTCCAGTTTTCTCAAAGAAACAAGAGCA